ACATTGTTTTAAAATTATTTTAATAATAATTATTAAAGATAAATATCTAGGATCTAATTTACAACGATTTCAATAATTTAACAATCATATCGATTTTAGTATTAATATGGACATGACATAGATCAAAATAGAAATTAGGTGTTTGACATTTTGTGACAACTACTGCGGAAAGTAACATATTCTCACTTGGGTGGAAAGTAAATTCTTATTCATACGCGTGTGATGTAGGGCACTTTCCATAGGACTATATAGTGTGATATGTGTCACTTTCCCAAGTGGTCGTAGGAAAAGTATATTACATTACGAGTGTGGAAACTGACATTTTTCACACAAGTGGGAAATATTGTCGCACGAGGCACAAGCCGAGTGCGACTATCACACGAGTGTAGAAAATCACTTTTCACACAAGTAATGTACAATATTTTTCGTACGACCACAAAGTAATTTTATCAAAAAATGTAAAACCAGGTTAATATTATAATAATTAAAATGTATTTAAAAAATAATCAACAATAATCGTATTTATTCAATTTTCATATTTTAGAAATTCGAAATAGTACAATAACTGCTCAAAATGACCTCCCATTACATTTAAACAGATTTGTATCCGATATTCAAATGACCTCTCCACATTTCTAGCCATTGGAATACTAATGTTTTGGAAAACAACCCTAATTCTTTTTGGAGTGAGGGTAGCCATATGTGAGTAGTAGGGATTAAGTGTAAGGGTTAAAGAAAAGGTCCTTTATTTCTCACAAGTCAATTTAATTGGCGACCGGTTTCGAAGCTGTCACTTCATCATCAGGCACACCTAAATGGAATGTCAAGGAGTCAGTTGTAATAAAAAACAATTATAAAAGCATGAACGGACTTTAACATATACAAAATAACAGAAAAAACAGAAAAAACACAAAAGAAGTTAAACAATAACCTTGACTCACCTTGACTATTTCCATAAAGGAAGCGACATAAAGTTTAACAAAACGAGTTAAAAAAGTCATATGTAATACAATAGTATTTTTTATAAATATTGTAGGTTAGGTTAAACCGCGAGATGTCTGTTTGAATAAATTAATTAAAACACATGTAAGACTATTATTAACTAAACAACACAAAATAGTTTTTACAAGCACAAACAGTTTAAAAATTTTTAAGGATATAACGTCAATTAATAAAAGTAAAAAGTAAAAATTATCAGACTCTCAAGACATCTATTTAGATTTTTTAACGAATCAATGTAGTAAACTGTAAATTTTAAATTTAGCGGATAAATAGTGTACTAACAAAGGTGTTATTTACTGAAAGTGAGTATAGGGGGCGGTGACATAATTTATTGAAAGTAAAAATATTAAACTGGGAAATGAGAAAGCAAAAATACTAACAAGAAAATTAGAACACTGAACAAGAAAATATGAAAATTCATATGTAAAAGGGAAATTTGAAGCAGATAATCAAAAGAAAAAATTACTGTTACAGGAAACGGAAACTAAGTTGATAAGTACGAATGTCAAAAAAAAGAGAAAAGTCAAATTTTGGCGTATGACAGCCACGTGGGAGAATTTGCCCACTCGCATCTTATTAAATATTCAAATTTTCCCACGTGGCTGTCATACGCCAAAATTTGACTTTTCTCTTTTTTTTGACATTCGTACTTGTCAACTTAGTTTCCGTTTCCTGTAACAGTAATTTTTTCTTTTGATTATCTGCTTCAAATTTCCCTTTTTCATATGAATTTTCATATTTTCTTGTTCAGTGTTCTAATTTTCTTGTTAGTATTTTTGCTTTCTCATTTCCTAGTTTAATATTTTTACTTTCAATAAATTATGTCACCGCCCCATATACTCACTTTCAGTAAATAACACCTTTGTTAGTACACTATTTATCCGCTAAATTTAAAATTTACAGTTTACTACATTGATTCGTTAAAAAATCTAGATATGTCTTGAGAGTCTGATAATTTTTACTTTTTACTTTTATTAATTGACGTTATATCCTTAAAAAATTTTAAACTGTTTGTGCTTGTAAAAACTATTTTGTGTTGTTTAGTTAATAATAGTCTTACATGTGTTTTAATTAATTTATTCAAACAGACATCTCGCGGTTTAACCTAACCTACAATATTTATAAAAAATACTATTGTATTACATATGACTTTTTTAACTCGTTTTGTTAAACTTTATGTAGCGCTTCCTTTATGGAAATAGTCAAGGTGAGTCAAGGTTATTGTTTAACTTCTTTTGTGTTTTTTCTGTTTTTTCTGTTATTTTGTATATGTTAAAGTCCGTTCATGCTTTTATAATTGTTTTTTATTACAACTGACTCCTTGACATTCCATTTAGGTGTGCCTGATGATGAAGTGACAGCTTCGAAACCGGTCGCCAATTAAATTGACTTGTGAGAAATAAAGGACCTTTTCTTTAACCCTTACACTTAAACCCTAATTCTATTTTTCATGTCCTCTCTTGTAGTTACAGGTATTTTATACACCTCATTTTTCACATACCATCACAGAAAAAATCAACTTTTTTAGATCTGGCGATCTAGCTGGCCACTCAATTGGTCCTCTCCTTCCTATCCGTCGTTCTGAAAATTAATCATCAAGTTGACCATAAATTACTGCATTATGATGTATTGGAGCCCCATCATGTAGATACCACATTTGCTGATGTATACGAAGAGGAACATTTTCAAAAAGTATAGGCAACTGATTCTCCAAAAAATCTAAATAAACTTTACTGTTAACTGTTTTCTTAAAAAATATGGTCCAATTACATAATCACCAACAATACCACCCCAAACTTTTAAAGACCATCTTATTTGAGAAGTAGTAACTATCGCATAAGGATTTTCTCTGGCATAATAGTTAAAATTATGTCGATTTAATAAACCATTTTTATGGAATGTCGCCTCATCTCCGAAAAGTACATAATCAAAAAAATCTCTTTGATGAATTTTTCTTTGTGTCCAATAACAAAAGTTTGTTCTTCGCCGAAAATCATCATCCAATAATTCCTGGTGTAACTGAATATCATATGGGTGCATCTTATTGTTTGAAAGTAGACAAAAAACGAAGAAGGGACATTGTTGACAAGTAACATTTTATTATTTATTTAGATTCAAGCACCGAAATATTCTCAGGGCTCAGGTTTTATTAAAAAAAAAGAAAAAACATGGTGTTCAATGTTCACGATTCGATGGTATGTACATATTATAAGAGTACAAGTTCTATCATTCCGCCATTTGATAGTGATTCGACTCTGTGAGTTTGTGGTTGATTAATATTAATTTTTTGCAGTTTGTAGTATTTTTATCTCAGAGAAAGGTGAAAGTTTTCCAGTGAATAATACAAAGCTAAAAGGTAAGTGAATTTATAATGTCTAGCAGGGCAAAATTAAACAAACTAATTGGATTTTCATATTGATCTGCCTTTCATTTTCAGTAAGCGATTAAATTATTTTCAGGTTCAGCTGAGAAGGCAAATATGGCCAAATCCAGAAAAAATTAAACTGCTGTCAATCCAGGCATAGTTAAAAAGGGTAAAGAAATTTGATGAAAAAATTTTAATAATTTTATTATTCATAGGTTATTTGCTTCCAAATATTTTTTTTTGAAATTATTGATTATTTTCACTGATTTCCTTACACATCCCCACATCCCCATTTGAGATTTTGAAAATGTCCATGGAATCTTCTTAAATGGACGTTCTTAGGACATCCTAATTATTAACAATGGACGTTCCAAAGACGTCCACGTCCTTGAAATGGACGTTGTAAGGATGTCCTGAATATCTAAGCAGGACGTATTTAGAACTCCCATAAGATGTATTTGTGCTATTTGGCCTATAACTTAGGCCCTGAACAAAAATTTAATATCGACGCAGCAAAATTATCAATTTTACATGAAATCGTAATTTGTGCACAGTTTACAAAGTACGCAACATTGATTATTAAAATTTGGTAAGAATATCAAAAAAATATGTAGACTACTCTAAAGTTTTTAGAACTGCATCTGTGACTTTCAGTTTTTTATATTTTTTTAATAATATTTAATAATTTGTAAACCTCTGTTTTGACTATGTAAATACACTAAAATGGCGGCCTTAAGTAAAACTGGAAGCATCAAGGAAGAGAAGAGCGTATAGGCAGAGCACAACGTATATAGCAAAAGATGCGCAGTTTTAAATAAATAAAAATCAGTCGGAGTGTTTTACGAGATTACCAATTCCAACGTATTGAAGTAAAGAAGGGTAATTTAGATACAGTCTGCATATATCTTATATGATAAAACATAAACACAGTTTGGTGGTTTGTTTTAAAACAAATAAGAGTTAAAGAGGTAACTCATCTCAATCGTATTAAGTTAATCCCTTATTAACTAACTTATTATACTTCTCTCTAATCCTTCCCCATTTTCCTGATTTTCCCCTTTTCCTAGTGCTTATCTTTTTTGCTTCCTATGTACCTAACTCTTCAAATTCTTCTTCTATTTCCTTAGAAGTATCTTAATTTATTACTTCGTTGGTGGTGATTTCTGCAGTTGTAGTTTCAGTGACTATTGTTGTATCGGAAGTTATCTTGTTGTTATCTTGTCAGAAGAAATCGGTTCTTTTGTTGTCTTGTTCCATCGAACATATTTCTTCTACTTCTGACACAGTCATCTCACAAACTGATGTTTTTGTGTCTTCTGTATCAGTGGAGACAAGTACTGTAGGTTCCGTTGATGTTGATTCTTCTCTTTCTGGTTCAGTTGTAGCTTCAGTGACTATTGTTGTCGTATCAAAAGAAATTCGTCCTAGTGAACTTTTTTCTTCCACTTTTGATGTCGATACCTCGCAAGCTGTTGTAGTATCTTCTGTAGTCATATAATTAGGTATTGTAGATTCCATTGTTGGGCCTGCTACTTCTGACATAGTCGTCATCTTACAATTTGTTGTTGTAGTGGTTTCTTTACATGTATAAATAGGTACTGTAGGTTCTGTTTCTTCTGCTTCAGTTGTAGTTTTAGTGACGTGTTGTACTATTAGCAGAACGTGGACTTGTTTCTTTCACTTCTGATACACTCGTCATATCACAATCTGTTGTAGCAGTGACATCTGTAACTGTATAACTAGATACCGTTAGCGTTGATTGTTCTTCTTCTTGTTCAGTTGTAGCTTCAGTGACTACTGGTATCGTTTCAGCAGGAATCGGTTCTATGGAAACAGTTTCAACGACTTTGGTTGTCGTCTCAGAAAAACGTGAACTTGTTTCTTCTATTTCTGATTCAGTCGCCACCTCACAACCTGTTGTTGTAGTGTCTTCTTTAACTGTAGAACTAGGTACTTTAACTTTCGTTGGCGTTAATTCTTCTTCTAGTGATTCAGTTTTAGTTTTAGTAACCATTGTTGTGGTGTTAAAAAAAATCGGTTTTATTAAACCCCTTTCTTCTACTTCTGACACAGTCGTCATCTCACAAAATGCTGTTATAGTATCTTCTGTAGCTGCAAAACTGGGAACTGTAGTTTCTGTTGGCATTAATTCTTCTCCTGATTTAGTTGTAATTTCAGTGACTCTGTTTAAAGTATTAGAAGAAATCGCTTCTATTGAAGTTGTTTTTTCTACTTCTGATAACGTCATCATGTCAAAAGCTGTTGTGGTGTCTTCTGTAGATTCTGTTGGCGTTGATTCTTCTGATTCTGGATCAGTTGTAGTTTCAGTTACTACTGTTGACGCGTCAGAAGAAAATGGTTTCAGTGAACTTGAATCTACTACCTCTGACACAGTCATGTCTTTTGTAGCTGTATAACAAGGTGTTGTAGTTTCTGTTGGCGTTGTTTTCTCTACTCCCGGTTCAGTTGTAGTTTCATTGGCTATTATCGTCGAATGAGAAAAAATTGGTACTATTGAACTTGCTTCTTCTACTTGTGACGTCGTCACCTCACAAGCTATTATTGTGGTGTCTTCTGTAGCTATAGAACTAGGTATTGTAGGTTCTTCTATTGAAGTTGTTTTTTCTACTTCTGATAACGTCATCATATCACAAGCTGTTGTGATATCTTCTGTAGCTGCAGAACAAGGTACTGTAGGTTCTGTTGGCGTTGATTCTTTTGATTCTGGGTTAGTTGTAGTTTCAGTCACTATTGTTGACGTGTCAAAAGAAATCAGTTTTAGTGAACTTGTATCTACTACCTCTGACACAGTCATTTCTGTAGCTGTATAACAAGGTATTGTTGTTTCTGTTGGCGTTGATTCTTCTAATCCTGGTTCAGTTGTAGTTTCATTAGCTATTATCGTCGAATGAGAAGAAATTGGTACTATTGAACTTGTTTCTTCTACTTCTGACATCGTCACCTCACAAGCTGTTATTGTGGTATCTTCTGTAGCTATAGAACTAGGTATTGTAGGTTCTGTTGGGGTTGATTCTTCTGGTTCAGTTGTAATTTTAGTGACTCTTGTTGAAGTATAAGAAGAAATCGCTTCTATTGAAGTTGTTTTTTCTACTTTTGATAACTTCATCACATCACAAGCTGTTGTGGTGTCTTCTGTAGCTGCAGAACTAGGTATTGTAGGTTCTGTTGGCGTTGATTCTTCTGATTCTGGGTTAGTTGTAGTTTCAGTTACTTTTGTTGACGTGTCAGAAGAAATAGGGTTTAGTGAACTTGTATCTACTACCTCTGACACAGTCATGTCTTCTGTAACTGTATAACAAGGTATTGTTGTTTCTGTTGGCGTTGATTCTTCTACTCCTGGTTTAGTTGTAGTTTCAGTGGCTATTGTCGTCGAATGAGAAGAAATTGGTAATATTGAACTTGTTTCTTCTACTTCTGACGTCGTCACCTCACAAGCTATTATTGTGGTGTCTTCTGTAGCTATAGAACTAGGTATTGTAGGTTCTGTTGGGGTTGATTCTTCCGGTTCAGTTGTAATTTCAGTGACTCTTGTTAAAGTATAATAAGAAATCGCTTCTATTGAAGTTGTTTTTTCTACTTCTGATAACGTCATCATATTACAAGCTGTTGTGATATCTTCTGTAGCTGCAGAACTAGGTACTGTAGGTTCTGTTGGAGTTGATTCTTCTGATTCTGGTTCAGTTGTAGTTTCAATGGCTATTGTCGTCGAATGAGAAGAAATTGGTACTATTGAACTTGCTTCTTCTACTTCTGACGTCGTCACCTCACAAGCTGTTATTGTGGTATCTTCTGTAGCTGCAGAACTAGGTATTGTAGGTTCTGTTGGCGTTGATTCTTCTGATTCTGGGTTAGTTGTAGTTTCAGTCACTATTGTTGACGTGTCAAAAGAAATCGGTTTTAGTGAACTTGTATCTACTACCTCTGACACAGTCATGTCTTCTGTAGCTGTATAACAAGGTATTGTAGTTTCTGTTGGCGTTGATTCTTCTAATCCTGGTTCAGTTGTAGTTTCATTAGCTATTATCGTCGAATGAGAAGAAATTGGTATTACTGAACTTGTTTCTTCTACTTCTGACGTCGTCACCTCACAAGCTATTATTGTGGTGTCTTCTGTAGCTATAGAACTAGCTATTGTAGGTTCTGTTGGGGTTAATTCTTCTGGTTCAGTTGTAATTTCAGTAACTCTTGTTAAAGTATAAGAAGAAATCGCTTCTATTGAAAATGATTTTTCTACTTTTGATAACGTCATCATATCACAAGCTGTTGTGGTGTCTTCTGTAGCTGTATAACAAGGTATTGTTCTTTCTGTTTGCGTTGATTCTTCTACTTTTGGTTCAGTTGTAGTTTCAGTGGCTATTGTCGTCGAATGAGCAGAAATTGGTAATATTGAAGTTGTTTCTTTTAATTCGGGCGTCGTCACCTCACAAGCTGTTATTGTGGTGTGTTCTGTAGCTATAGAACTAGGTATTGTAGGTTCTGTTGTTTTGTTGACTCTTGTTGAAGTATAAGAAGAAATCGCTTCTATTGAAGTTGTTTTTTCTACTTCTGATAACGTCGTCACATCACAAGCTGGTGTAGTGTCTTCTGTTGCTGCAGAACTAGGTATTGTAGGTTCTGTTGGCTTTGATTCTACAGATTTTGGGTCAGTTGTAGTTTCAGTCACTTTTATTGACGTGTCGGAAGAAATTGGTTTTAATGAACTTGTATCTACTACCTCTGACACAGTCATGTCTTCTGTAGCTGTATAACAAGGTATTGTTCTTTCTGTTTGCGTTGATTCTTCTACTTTTGGTTCAGTTGTAGTTTCAGTGGCTATTATCGTCGAATGAGCAGAAATTGGTAATATTGAAGTTGTTTCTTTTAATTCGGACGTCGTCACCTCACAAGCTGTTATTGTGGTGTGTTCTGTAGCTATAGAACTAGGTATTGTAGGTTCTGTTGTTTTGTTGACTCTTGTTGAAGTATAAGAAGAAATCGCTTCTATTGAAGTTGTTTTTTCTACTTTTGATAACGTCATCATATCACAAACTGTTGTGATGTCTTCTGTAGCTGCAGAACTAGGTATTGTAGGTTCTGTTGGGGTTGATTCTTCTGGTTCAGTTGTAATTTCAGTGACTCTTGTTAAAGTATAATAAGAAATCGCTTCTATTGAAGTTGTTTTTTCTACTTCTGATAACGTCATCATATCACAAGCTGTTGTGGTGTCTTCTGAAGCTACATAACTAGATATTGTAGGTTCTGTTGGCGTTGATTGTTCTGATTCTGGGTCAGTTGTAGTTTCAGTCACTTTTATTGACGTGTCGGAAGAAATTGGTTTTAATGAACTTGTATCTACTACCTCTGACACAGTCATGTCTTCTGTAGCTGTATAACAAGGTATTGTACTTTCTGTTTGCGTTGATTCTTCTACTTCTGGTTCAGTTGTAGTTTCAGTGGCTATTGTCGTCGAATGAGCAGAAATTGGTAATATTGAAGTTGTTTCTTTTAATTCGGGCGTCGTCACCTCACAAGCTGTTATTGTGGTGTGTTCTGTAAGTATAGAACTAGATATTGTAGGTTCTGTTGTTTTGTTGACTCTTGTTGAAGTATAAGAAGAAATCGCTTCTATTGAAGTTGTTTTTTCTACTTCTGATAACGTCGTCACATCACAAGCTGGTGTAGTGTCTTCTTTAGCTGCAGAACTAGGTATTGTAGGTTCTGTTGGCTTTGATTCTACAGATTTTGGGTCAGTTGTAGTTTCAGTCACTTTTATTGACGTGTCGGAAGAAATTGGTTTTAATGAACTTGTATCTACTACCTCTGACACAGTCATGTCTTCTGTAGCTGTATAACAAGGTATTGTTCTTTCTGTTTGCGTTGATTCTTCTACTTTTGGTTCAGTTGTAGTTTCAGTGGCTATTGTCGTCGAATGAGCAGAAATTGGTAATATTGAAGTTGTTTCTTTTAATTCGGGCGTCGTCACCTCACAAGCTGTTATTGTGGTGTGTTCTGTAGCTATAGAACTAGGTATTGTAGGTTCTGTTGTTTTGTTGACTCTTGTTGAAGTATAAGAAGAAATCGCTTCTATTGAAGTTGTTTTTTCTACTTCTGATAACGTCGTCACATCACAAGCTGGTGTAGTGTCTTCTGTTGCTGCAGAACTAGGTATTGTAGGTTCTGTTGGCTTTGATTCTACAGATTTTGGGTCAGTTGTAGTTTCAGTCACTTTTATTGACGTGTCGGAAGAAATTGGTTTTAATGAACTTGTATCTACTACCTCTGACACAGTCATGTCTTCTGTAGCTGTATAACAAGGTATTGTACTTTCTGTTTGCATTGATTCTTCTACTTTTGGTTCAGTTGTAGTTTCAGTGGCTATTGTCGTCGAATGAGCAGAAATTGGTAATATTGAAGTTGTTTCTTTTAATTCGGGCGTCGTCACCTCACAAGCTGTTATTGTGGTGTGTTCTGTAGCTATAGAACTAGGTATTGTAGGTTCTGTTGTTTTGTTGACTCTTGTTGAAGTATAAGAAGAAATCGCTTCTATTGAAGTTGTTTTTTCTACTTCTGATAACGTCATCATATCACAAACTGTTGTGATGTCTTCTGTAGCTGCAGAACTAGGTATTGTAGGTTCTGTTGGGGTTGATTCTTCTGGTTCAGTTGTAATTTCAGTGACTCTTGTTAAAGTATAATAAGAAATCGCTTCTATTGAAGTTGTTTTTTCTACTTCTGATAACGTCATCATATCACAAGCTGTTGTGGTGTCTTCTGAAGCTACAGAACTAGATATTGTAGGTTCTGTTGGCGTTGATTGTTCTGATTCTGGGTTAGTTGTAGTTTTAGTCACTATTATTGACGTGTCAGAAGAAATTGGTTTTAGTGAACTTGTATCTACTACCTCTAACACAGTCATGTCTTCTGTAGCTGTATAACAAGGTATTGTAGCTTCTGTTGGCGTTGATTGTTCTACTCCTGGTTCATCAGTTGTAGTTTCAGTGGCTATTGTCGTCGAATGAGAAGAAATTGGTAACATTGAACTTGTTTCTTTTAATTCTGACGTCGTTACCTCACAAGCTGTTATTGTGGTGTCTTCTGTAGCTATAGAACTAGGTATTGTAGGTTCTGTTGGTCTGTTGACTCTTGTTGAAGTATAAGAAGAAATCGCTTCTATTAAAGTTGTTTTTTCTACTTCTGATGTCATCATATCACAAGCTGTTGTGGTGTCTTCTGTAGCTGCAGAACTAGGTATTGTAGGTTCTGTTGGCATTGATTCTTCTGATTCTGGGTTAGTTGTAGTTTCAGTCACTATTGTTGGCATGCCAGAAGAAATCGGTTTTAGTGAACTTATATTAACTACCTCTGACACAGTCATGTCTTCTGTAGCTGTATAACAAGGTATTGTAGTTTCTGTTGGCGTTGATTCTTTTACTCCTGGTTCAGCTGTAGTTTTAGTGGCTAGTATCATCGAAAGAGAAGAAATTGGTAATATTGAACTTGTTCCTTCTATCTCTGACGTCGTCACATTACAAGCTGTTGTTGTAGTATCTTCTGTAGCCATAAAAATATGGACTGTAGAATCCATTGTCATTGAATCTTTTCTTCTTGATTCAGCTGTAGGTTCTGTTGAACACGTTTCTTCTATTATTGATGTCGTCACCTCACAAGCTATTGTTGTAGTGTCTGCTACTTCTGACTCTGTCATCATTTCACAATTTGTTGTTGTTCTTGTGGCTTTTTCACAGGTAGAACTAGGTACTATTGTTTCCGTTTCTTCTCGTTCAGTGACTATTGCTGTGGTATGAAAAGAAATCAGTTGTAATAAACTTGTTTCTTCTACTTGTGACACCTTTGTTACATCGCAAGCTGTTGTTGTAGTGTCTTTTTTGATAGTAGAACTAGGTATTGTTGATTCTTTTTCTTCTAGTTCAGTTGTAGTCTCACAAGCTAATAGTGTTGTGTCTTCTGTAGCTTTAAAACTAGTTATTCTAGATTCTGTTGGCGTTGATTCTTCTGCACCTGGTTTAAGTGTAGTTTCAGTGACTATTATTGTTGTGTGAGAAAATATCGATTCTATTGAACTTGTTTCTTCTACATCTGATACCGTTCTCACATCACAAGCTGTTGTTGAAATGTCTTCTGTAAGTGAGGAACTAGGTACTGTAGACTCTGTTGGCGTTGATTCTTTTCCGTTTAGTTCAGATGTAGTTTCAGTCACAATTGTTGTGAAATCAGAAGAAATCGTTTCTATTGAATTTGTTTCTTTTATTTCTGGCGTTGCTGCCCCACACGTTGTTATTGTAGTATCTTCTGTAGTCACAGAATTAAGTACTATAGATTCCATTGCTGTTGATTCTTCTTCTCCTGATTTAGCTGTAGTTTTAATCACTATTGTTGTCACGTCAGAAGAAATTGGTTCTGTTAAACACGTTTCTTCTATTTTTGATGTCGTCACTTCAGAAGTTGTTATTGTAATAGTGTTTGCTAGTTTTGACATAGTCGTCACATCACAAGCTGTTGTTGAGTCTTCTATAAAACTAGGTACTGTAGTTTCCATCGGCATAGCTTCTTCTGATTCAGTTGTAGTTTTAGTAACTATTAAGGTCGTGTCAGAAGAAATTGGTTCGATTGAAACTGTTTCTTTTACTTCTAGCACAGTCGTCACGTCACAAGCTTCTGTTGTAGTATCTTCTGTAGCTGTAGAGTTAGGGAATATAGATTGCGTTGGCGTCACTACTGTTGTCGTGTCAGAAGCAATTGATTCATTTGAACTTGATCCTACTTCAGGTATAGTCGTCACCTTACAAGCTATTGTTTTAGTGTCTGCTACTGCTGAGATAGTCGTCACCTCATAATCTGTTATTGTACTGCCTTCTTTACAGGTATATTGTGTAGCTGTAGAGTCAGGGATTGTAGACTGCATTAACGTTGATTCTTGTTTTTCTGGTTCAGTTGTAGTTTCCGTCACTACTGTTGTCGTGTCAGAAGAAATTGGTTTGTTTGAACTTGCTTCTTCCACTTCTAAAATAGTCGTTAGCTCACAAGCTATTGTTGTAATGTCTTCTTTACGTGTAGAACTAAATACTGTAAGTTCCGCTGACAATAAATGTTCTTCTCCTTGTTTAGTTGTAGTTTCAGTCACTATTGTTGTTGTATTAGAAAAAATCGGTTCTACTGAACTTCCTCCTTCTACTTCTGACGTCGTCACCACACAAACTGTTGTTGTAGTAGTATCTTCTGTTTCTGTAGAACTAGGGATTATTGGTTTCATTGGCATTGATTCTTCTTTCCGTTCAGTTGTAGTTTCAGTCACTATTGTTTTCGTGTCAGAAGAAATCATTTCTGTTGAGCATGTCTTTTCTAGTTCAGGTACAGTTTTCACCTCACAAATTATTATTGTTGTGTCTTTTGCATCTGTAGAACTAGGTACTGCATATTCTGTTGGCATTGATTCTCTTGCTTTTGCTCCTGATACCCTCGTCACATCAAAAGCTATTGTTGTAGTGTCATTTTTGACATTATAACCAGTCATTGTTGATTTTTTTTCTCCAGATTCAGTCGTAGTCTCATAAGATAATGTTTTTGTGTCTTCTGTAGCTATAGAACAAGATATTGTAGATTCTGTTGTCGTTGATTCTTCTGTAAATGGTTTACGTGTAATTTCAGTGACTGTTTTTGTTGATTCTACTAAATTTGTTTCTTTTAAATCTGATATCGTTGTCAAATTACAATCTGTTGTTAAAGTATCTTCTGTAGCTGTAGAACGGGATACTGTAGGTTCTGTTGACGATGATTCATCTCTTTCTGTTTTAGTTGTAGTATCAGTCACATTTGTTGTCATGCCAGAAGAAATAGATTCTATTGAACTTGTTTCTTCTACTTCTGACGTCGTTATCTCACAAGCTATTGTTATAGTGGTTTCTTTAGGTGTAGAATTAGGTTCCATTGATAATGACTGTTCTTCTCCTGATTCAGAAAAAACTGGTTCTATGGTACTTGTTTTTTCTACTTCTGATATAATCGACATCTCAGAAGTCTTAGTTATATTCTTTTCTGAAACTATAGAACTAGGGACTGATAACTTCGTCACATCATAAACTGTTGTAGTGTCTTCTGTAGCTAGAGAAGTAGTTATTGTAGGTTTTTTTGGCGTTGATTCTTCTCTTCGTAGTTCAGTTGTAGTTTCAGTCATTATTTTTGTTGCATCAGAAGAAATCGATTCTATTGAACTTGTTCCTTTTACTTCTGACGTTGTCATCCCATAAGATATTGGTGTAGAATCTTCTGTAGCTATAGAACTAGGAACTGTTAGTTTCATTGGCATTGATTCTTCGTCTGGTTCAGTTGTAGTTTCAGTCACTATTGTTGTAGTGTGAGACGAAATCAGTTGTATTGAACATGTTTCTTCTACTTCTGATACTGTCGTCACTTTACAAGCTGTTGTTGTTTCGTCTTCTGTAGCTGTACTACTAGGTCCTATAGGTTTGGTCTGTTCTGATTCTACTTCTTCTGGTTCAGTTGGTGTTTTAGTGATTATTAAATTTTCTTCTAAAATTGTCGTAGCAAAGAAGGTAGGTACAGTTGAAGTTTCTAGAAGTGTTGAATTAGAATAAATATCTGTTGTAGTTATAGGACAAATAAATGTAGTTCTCTCGGGACAAATCTTCGTACTTACGCTGTCATCATTCATAGCACACTTTAATTTATCCACAAATTCTCGATTAATAACAGCTTCCTCATGATTACTCGCCAAATGGGTTATAATTTGAACAAGATATCCCAGGTTACAAGTTTGCTTTGATCTGTTGACACATTTTTGGCAATTTACAGGTGGAGAAGTAACTTGACCAACGAACATTATTAATGGTAGCCCTGTAAGGGCCACTGTTTGTTGAAAAAACATTTCAATGTAATAAATATTTAAAATGTATTTCCGCTTTTATAATGATCCAAAACATCGTTATCTGAAACACTGTGTTATCTGTAACATAATCTGTTACCGGATTGAATTGTTCGCGGAAATAAATGAAGAGCGATTATGAAAATAAATTAAATTTTAAATATTTGAGGATTTATGTTTGGTAAATATGAAATGGAAGGAATTTTAAACATACATGCTTTCCATATATTTCTAATTTCTATTAATAAAAATCTTTTTAGAAAAAAAATAACATATCACGTGTTTCATGAAATTCAAAATGTTCTTTAACTCTAAATATAGGCTTACACTAATTGTTAGTTATATTATTTTGTTTATTATAATATATAATATTCTTTGTTTGTTTTTATTCCAAGTAAAAATAACAACAATTTAAATCAAATAATAAAACAGTTTAATAGCTTTAAGATTAATTAAAAGGTTTGTTCCCGAAGCGAGTTCCTAACAAATTGAGTATGCGCAGTACAAAATAACTGTTCCAGCAGAGCAAAGTTCCAAACAAGTTGAATTTCTTTGGTGTTTTCGCAAGAATAAAAATTTGTTCATAACATGTTTGTTATTAGTTCCAATAGTTCCTGAATAAAATACGAACTTTTACTTTCGCGCATGCGTGCTTATTTAAAATCATTATTCTTCTTTTTCTCGTTTGTTATTAATTTGATTTTTGGTTAGTTTTGTTATCTTTAATTTTGAATAAAAACCTATAAAGCGTTGTAACAGTAAAGCATATAATATAGAGAGAGTAGGGTAGTTTTTATTTGAGTAATTTTGAGTTGAGCATAAAGCATAACCTTAAAATCTTCTTTTCTTAATAAGTTTAATCGAATGAGCTGTATTTAGTTAAACCACTCAACCACCTTTATTTGATCAACGTTCCAGCACACATTTATTTGGAACTTATTCAGAACATTATTCTGGTCACACATGCGTATCAGATAATATTAGAAACAAGTAATGTTAACATTTCTTAAAATACATCAATTATTTTAATTAATATCTAATCATTTGAGTCAGCATTTTTTTGATGTCTCCTGTCAAATGTAAAATATATTTATAACATCTACTAAACTCATCGCAGTAGTAAGTTTGTCTGGAGTATGCACGGCTATTTTATTATTATTATTATTATTATTATTTGCCGTGGTGCTTCGACTTACAGTTAATATGGCTCATGTCATTCCCAGACCCAAGAGTTACTTATTTTCTTATTGTTTTTTAAGTAAAGACAAGCAAAATAAATGTTAAAATTTTTCATTTTTAAATCTATTAGTATTTTTTTTAATTATTTTTGTATTTTGGTTTAATATTCATTTTATTTTTTCGTATAGTAGTTTTTCTCCTTTTTAAGGTGATTTGTCCTGTTACAATAAGTAAACTAGTTAGCTAATTTATTAAGGATTGTGCTGCTCATGTCATATCAATCAAAGTCATTATAAAGGGGGCAATAAAATTTGTACAAAATATAATTAATAAATGTAAACCGATCAATAACTTTCTTCAAGTATCTACTAAAAAAAATTATTAAAAAATAAAAATTATAACTATTTTTTATTCTGTTGACATTTATGTTAAATTTCTAACAATAAAATAAACTTGATACAATGTATCCAGTTGAGAGATAATTAGAAATACAAGTTCTGTTTCACTTTTGCATGACTTATTTATTTTTGATATTTCGCGAAGGTTACATTCCCATTTAAAAAAAATATCTAACCATAATAGACAATGAAGTACTAAAGGATTAGAATAAATACTTAATCAGACTATATGTTATATGAAAAATTAAAAATACTGCCAAAAAAATTATACTAAATATGTTGTACAAATACTTAATTTATTTTTCTTAAGTGCTGTTTCACTTTTTGACTTCATCTGTAGTGAATTTTTTTTATTTTGAAAATGGAAATATCCTTCCTTGAAACGTCAAATACAAATTGTTGTAGAACTAGGAGTCACATTTTGCCGTTGTTTCTTCTCCAGCATCAGTTGTAGTTTCAGTTATTGTACTTCCTGTGTGAGAACACATAATAATTGGTGTTGATTCTGTTTCGGTTGTAGTTTCAGTGACTATTGTTGTACTGTCTGTGTGAGCACACATAATAATTGGTGTTGATTCTGTTTCTGTTGTAGTTTCAGGACAAACGGTTGTGGTGGTCTCGGGACAAATCGTACTTTCATCGTCATCCTCATTCAAAGCACATATTAATTTATCTATAAAATCTCGGTTAATAACACCTTCCTTATGATTACTAGCCAAATGGGCTAGAATCTGAACGAGATATCCCAGCTGACAAGTTTGCTCCGAATTTACAACACATTTTTTACAATCGAAAGGTGCAGAAATAACTTGACCAACCACTGTTATTAACAGCAACCCTGTAAGGGTTACTGCTTGTCGAAGAAACATTTCACGTATGACAAATATTTCAAATGTTTTTCCGCTTTTATAATATGGTCCAAAACACTGCTATCTGTACTCAATAAAATCAATTTCCGGTATGAATTGATCGCGGAAATAAATGAGGACCGATAAGGATCGAAATCAATTAGTAAACAATTTTTTCATTATACCTGGGATTTTCCCATTCATTCGTAAAGTTTTCCTATGCCTGGTGTTATTACAATATTAATGAAGAATTACTGCCCAAAAAGTCCTGCGAGAGATATGAATAGAAGTAACTTCTATTTTGCAAGTGGCATCAGCAAAAAAATATTAGCACGAAAGTGATGATATTATTCTTATATTTTTTGCCTTGTTTTTGTTTTCAGAGAGGATAATGAAAATAATCGTTCATTACACGCTTGCACGGGAAAAGTCAATTTTCTGGACTCGTAAGGAAATATAATAGTATTTCATTATAGGGTCCGATTACAATTAGAAGAACACAGCTACGTCGTAATTTGGCAAATTAATTGGTTATCGCCGCGTACTGGGGGTTTAGTGAAGTATTAATATTATAGGAATATAGGAAATATTGTTTTATACCTAATAAGTTACTTATTTTTTATTTATTAATAGTTATAGATAATATGTACTCGAAATTCGAAGTATTGGTTATGATGTAGCGGTGTTCTTCTAATTGTAATCGGACGCTACCTACCTCTCTGAAAACATTATCTTTACATGATTCTTTAAGAGCGTACCTACAAAATTTTAACGTTCGAACTCGAAATCGTGTACTCCATCCCATATATTATTTCCCTACCACGGCTGCCGACGTTCAGAGGTCTTAAGTGAGTCAGAGTTACCTGAATTAAGGAAACCAGAACCGCATTTAGTTGTTCTTGGTGCATTGTGAGATATTATTATAACATAGTTGGATTTATTAGAGGGTGTTTACAATATTTTTTATTTTAATTTAGTGAATAGCTGTAGTTAGATTAAATTACAATTAGGAGTATAGAGTTAGTTTTTTTTTAAGTTGTTAAGTGTATTTTTGTGAAAGATGGGAAAAATAAAACCAACATACAAACGGAAAAATAAGCGACTGGCTCGATTAAGGTAATACCAATTTATATTTAAAATTAAATAATATTGATTTATTTTTTGTTCTATATATTAGCTACTTGAAAAAAAGAATGGAAAAATATTCTGAGGTGGAAAAGTAATCTTCCGGTAGTCAATACATCAGAGGACAACACGTAAGTAAAGCAAAATTTTACAAAAATGTTTTATGTTATAATATAGTCTAGTAATGAAAAGCATTCTATGTTCTGCATTCTATGTATATTATGTAAGAAGTGCGTCAAATTTATGCACAACTTTAATAGGAAAATATTTATAATGTACAAAAAAACAAAACCAGTAGAGCCAACTACTCACTTTAAACCTGTACGTGAAAGTCATAGGCTCTAATAGAAAAATTAGGGTAAAATTTGATTTTACACACTTGTGTGAATTTATACTTGAAATATTTTTTTTTCAATAATTTGCCATTCTGATGAACTAATGTTCTTGTCGATTGACATTAAATGTAACTTTTAGTAATATTTCTCGATTTTAGAAGTACCTAACACTTTTACTGCCTAGGCTTTAAAAAATTACTTTTTTTTCTTTTCAAAACTTCTGCATGGGCATCCGGCCAAAAAAGGTTACTGTAATAAATTAAATACAAAGTTACTATAAGTATATTTAATCAAAAATCATAAAATACGATATATTAAAAATGCGTGAGTTATATCAGTTATACTTAAAAGAGGTTTTCATTTTAGTTCCATTTTTTAAACACACTGTATAAACAATCAGAAAAAAATAGATATTTCACATGGCAGAGACACAAATTTACTGACTTGGCTTGTTTCATTGCCTCGGTTTTGCCTCGCCAATGAAATGCTAGCTGCGGTAATAAATCTGTTACTTCTCTACCTAGTTAAACAAACAACTATGTTCTTGATTGTTAGGCATTAACTTGATGAAATCCATCAAAATTGTAACTATGCGATTCTCTCATATTATATAGAAACCCCCAGTGAAAAGGTTTCATCATACTTAAAAAACCAAAACATAGCTTTCAAAAACAATAATACGCTTGGGATATTAAAAACAAAAAGGGCAAAATTGTTCCATTAATAAATTGGGAGTATATAAAGTAAATTATGGTAGTTGTCCAAAATTGTATACGGTAATACGGGCCATACTTTCAAAAAACCCTATTCAGAACATTACAATAGTTATATCAAAAACAAAAATCATTCAACTTTTTCAAATCATATTTTGGCTGAAAATTCAGATAACCTATTAAATGCTCAAT